CACTGTCCCCTTTGCTGTGATATATTTGGCTTCATTTCATCTTTGTGTGGAGCTGAAGGGTGTGGAAGAGGTGGGAGGAATGTGTAATTCAGGCAGACCCTATGGACATGCTCAGATTTACTGTCTGAAGGTTTGCTAAATAATACATTTAAGGGATAATAATTGACTAAATACATAACTGCCTATTTGTTAGAGCTGCCACAGCCCAAGCAGTATTTTCAAATCTTTTCAAGGACATTCATTATTAAGAATAGCGTTACATTTAGAGCAGTCATGCTGGCCACCTGAATCACTTGAAATGTTTAGTGGACTGTTAAAGCACTTTAATCTGATAAAAGCTGTGAATTTCTACAGGGTTTGGTTTCCCTTTTTTCTAACATAGCCTAAATTCTCACTGTTTTAATTTACTTTTGGTTGTGGGTAGGGTTGCAGGGAGAAAATGTCAAAAGAAGGGAGGATAATTATTGCTGCAGATTTTGGCAAAAGGCAGTGTTCCTCACCTTTGTCAGTACCCACTCTGCCCAAGAGCTGATTCGTGGAGGATGCTCAAGCTAGTGAACTAAATGGAGACCCCTTCATTATCCCCCCAACCCCCGCCCCAGCTTTGGTATACTTTTATCTGGTGGAGTATAGAATATAATTAGCCTTCCTTGGAAGTTTCTCTTTGTTCTTATTTGCATACATTTGAATCTACTTCAGTGGGTCCTGTTTAGAGTGTTGGTAGGTCACTCTGTCCCCAGAGCTCTGAATTTAGAGGACCGGTTATGACTAGCAGGACAATGGAACTGGAGCTTGGTGTGTGAGGAAACAACAAAACACCAAGCCCTATTTTCAGTGAAGAGAGAATCGAACACTTTGCTCCCTGCTGTGCTTGACTGTGGAATGTGGGCAACAGGAGGGCGCCAGAAAGGGACCCCCAGAGGCCATGTGGTGAGAGAGTCCCAGCTCCAACCTGGGGATTCTCTCTAGCATGGGAGCTGGGGTAGGTGATATCCACATAACCTCAGATTTGTCGTTTTAACAGTCTTCAGTGTAAAGTGGCATTAATTACCTTTCCAATTCTGGGAAACCATTGCTGCCATCCATCTCCAGGACTTTTCCATCATCCCAAATAGAAACTCTGCGCTCATAAAACAGTCACTCCCCATGGCCCCTGCCCCCAGCACCTCGTAACCTCCATCCCACTCTCTGTCTCTGATTTGCATATTCTGGGTCCCTCATGGAAGTGAAATCATCTATTGCTTGTCATTTTGTGTGTGGCTTATTTCACTTGGCAGGATGTTTTCAAGGTTCATCCACATTGTAACATGGATCAGAATTTCATTCCCTTTGTGAGTTTTAAAAAGAATATTTCTCCCATGTATGTTCCTCCATTTGTATCCATGTCCATAGATAGCAATGCCATCTTTGAATATGGCCACCAATTTTTGAAAATCTAATTGTAGTAAAAACACAATAAAATATGCCATCTTAGCCACTTTAAGCATACAGTTCAGCAGCATTTACTGTAGTCACACTCTTGTGCAACACAGCTATAGAACTTTCCATCTTGCCACACTGCAACTCTGCAGCTGTTGAACAGTTCCCACTTCTGTCTCCCCTGAACTCCTGGAAACCACCCTTCCTTTCTGTTTTTATGAGCTTGTCTCCACTAGGTACCTCAGCAAGTGGAATCCTGCAGTATTTGTCCTTTTGTGACTAGCTTATTTTACATAGTTTCATATATTCTTTTTTTTTTTTAGTCTCTCTCCACTTCTTCATACTTTCCCACTCATTTAGTGTGTGTTACCCTCAATTGGGTTTCCTTCTCTTTCAAAGCTGAATCATACTTGTATGCATATGCAGCATCTTGGTTACCTGTCCAACTTAGGAAGGGTGTGTGGGTTGTTTCCACCTTTTGACTATTATGAATGATGCTGCTTTGAGCACTGATGTTGTTTTTTGTTTGTTTGTTTGTTTGTTTTTTTGCCAAAGAATTGAATGCAGGGTGCTTAACCACTGAACCACATTCTCAAACATTTTTTTTAAAAATTTTTTAGCATGATGTTTGCCATCTTTTAAAAAAAAATCTAGTTGTTTTACTTCACCATGACCAGAAACTGAAGGCTTTGTTTATTAATGACTGTTTTTTTCTTTTTTATTTATTCTTTTTAGTTATTACATGACAGTAGAATATTTTGACATATCATACACACATGGAGTATAACTTCCCATTCTTATGGTTTTACATGATACAGAATTACACTGGTCGTGTATTCATACATGAACATGGGAATGTTATGTGCCATGCATTCTGCTGTCTTTCCCAATCCCATCCTCCCTCCCTTTCCCCCATTCCCAGCCCTTTAAAAGTTTTATTGGGTCTCACTGAGTTGCCTAGGGCCTCACTAAGTTGCTGAGGCTGGCTTTGAACCCTTAATCCTCCTAAGCCTCTGGGGAGCGTTGGTATTTAAGTGTCTGTTGAGTCCTTTCAATTCTTTTTTTAAAAAATCTCTTCATTTTAGATATTCATGAGAGTAGGGTATATTTTGACATATTATACATACATGGAATATAACTTATTCTAATTAGATCCCATTCTTGTGATTATACGTGATGTAGAGTTTCATTGGTCATGTATTCATTGCTTTTAATTCTTCAGGGATATACTTAGAAATGGATTTTTTGGATCATATAGTACAGGGAAGGGTTTTTGAAGAGAGGGGTACAGAATTATGGTTAGAAAATTAAACTAGGTGGTCCTGAGTAGTTGGGATGGTCTCAGCCTAGTAGAGGAAGGGAGGTTCAGGTGAGAGAGAGGCTTGGGAGTTTGGATTAAGAGTTGTTACCATGGTGAGCCGGGCGTGGTGGTGCACACCTGTAATCCCAGCGGCTCAGGAGGCTGAGGCAGGAAGATCGAAAGTTCAAAGCCAGCCTTGGCAACAATTAAGCTCTAAGCAACTCAGTAAGACCCTGTCTCTAAATAAAATACAAAATAGGGCTGGGCATGTGGCTCAATTGTTGAGTGTCCCCGATTTCAATCTCCGGTATAAAAAAAAAAAAAGTTGTTATGATGGTTCAGGCATCTTTAAGGAAAAGACAGTCATGGAACATATCGTCCCTATGTGAGATTGAGGTGTGATATTCCTGAGGGTAACTCACAGAACGAGTCTGCTCTGGGAGGGAAGTGCTTTGACCAGATGTACCCCTTCTTAAGCAAAGGAAAAAGGGTGGGGTGACATGGGTTTTCCTTGCCTCTGTCTCTCCTTCTTACTCTTATCTCGGGGCATTGTCCCCTCAGCCTGGGACTATTGCTTACTACAGTTCTCACCAAAGAATGGTAGAATTAAGGGGTGACTTGGGTGGGATAGCTTAATATTCATGAGCCTCTCCTTCCTCATCAAATATATACAAGATCTAAGTTAGTGTGCTTGATGTGCAAAGACAATTTTCAGATAATGCCATTAGCCACTGTGGCTGATTAAATTGCCTCCCCTAAGCTCCTCTAATAGAAATTCAGGAAGTGCCCAACTCAAGAATTTTATTCTCATTACAGCCACAGGAGGAAATTCCTGGAAGGGTGAGATGTCAGGAGGCTTCAGTGCCTTCTCTGCCATGACAAACTTGCTGTGGCCTTGTCCTCTTTCCCAGCATCTGCCGTTGTCCCTTTCCATCAGTGCCTGTTACCATTGGTGTTGGATGGGTGTGAGAGAGGGAACAGGCAGGGTCTGCTGTGCATGGTACATGGGAAGAGCAAATGTGAGAAAGGACTCAAGGTGCCTTGAGAGGTACAGAGAGAACGCCGAGGCCCAGGAATGACCAGCAGTGTTGACTACACCATCCGCAGTTTCCGCAGCCTAGAAAGGAGTCTACTGGCAGCACCTATCCTGGTGCTCACCATTCCCCGGGGGAGGCAGGACGTAACAAAAATGTTAGGGTCACTGCAAGAAAATTTGTTCAGAGCCCATACCCAGCTACTCAAACTCAAAAGTTTGAGGCCAGCTTGGGCTACTTAGGAGACCCTGACTCAAAATATAAGATAAAAAGGCGTAGGGAGATGGATAGCTCAGGGATGGAGCGCCCTAGGTTCAATTCTCAGTACCAAAAAACAACAACAACAAAAATTTGTTCCGAGGTGGACCTTGAGAGACCAGAGGTGAGGGAGATGAGCCAGGTGCTTCCTGGAAGGTGTTTGGTTGTGGGGAAAGGGTGGGACCCAGATGGTCGAGTTTTCAATGACCTGTGTTGGGGTGGGAGGGATGGGGGGGTGGCCAAGCTAACTGTCCAGAAAAACACTGGAGAGTTAGGCCGGTGCCATGTGTGAGGGACACAGGAAGGTGAGTTGAGAATACATCAAAAGGCCCAGCAGTTGCCCCGTGATGGTTCTGGCTGGTTTACTCAGTAATCTCTCCAGCATTCTTGTCTTAGGCCCAGGAGGTGACCCAGGTACATCCAAATGTGGGTAGGTGTGCCACCACATGAAAACTCCCAGCTTGCTGGGCAAGATAAATTTATGAGATCCATTTCATACTATTCTTGACATAAAATTGGTTCTTTTTACTTTTTAAGAATTTTACATTACAAAAGCCTTCTCTTTGGGTAGAATACTTTTAATGGGTGAACCTATAATCCTTTCTCCCATTGGGGTCTGACAGTATGACTAAGTTAAATAAAAATGTGGACTCTGCAGTGTATTCACGTAATGAGACTGATTTGGAAAAGCTCTATTAGAAATATGCTATTTTTTGTTTTTGTTTTTGTTTTTTGCCAGAAGGCCTTATAGCACCCAAGACTACACATTATTCAAAAACCACAAAGTCCCCAAAGCTATCTGAAGGAATGGCTTTGTTCAACAGTGCCAACTCTATTTCAGTAATATGGTAGAGATAGCTGAGCTGTCATTAAGATCTTCTCTGATCCAATAAAATATTTTCTTTGTCCATCTTCCTGTTGCTCTGGTGTTTCTGTGTGGTAGCTGTGGATTTATGGATGTTAAGGTATGTGTTCTGGATTTCTTCTAGATTGGTCGATTGGTTATTGGACAGAATGGAATCCTCTCCACCCCTGCTGTATCCTGCATCATTAGAAAAATCAAAGCCATTGGTGGGATCATTCTGACAGCTAGCCACAACCCAGGAGGACCCAATGGAGATTTTGGAATCAAATTTAATATTTCTAATGGAGGTAAGTTTGCTGTCATTTTGAGAACAGATGATTTTATAGTCAATGGGGTAAACCAATTCCTGAAACCATATTTTTAAACACCAGAAATAGTTTCTTAAACAAGGCTAGGTTCAGGTTCTCGTCCTTTACAGGGAGGGGTCTTTACCTCCTTAGGTTTGGAGAGATGCTTCTTATTTGCTGGGCCTGGATATGACGAGCCATGCATGAGGTTTGTCTTTTAGAAAAATTCTGATACTTTGCTGTCTAAGTGATACAATGGTAAATGTGTTAGTGAAGAGGAACAGCTGCACTTTGGTCCTTGTTATTTTCACGTGAACAGCACAGAATGATCCACTGTTTGCTGTTGGATTTGCAGGTCCTGCTCCAGAAGCAATAACTGATAAAATTTTCCAAATCAGCAAGACGATCGAAGAGTATGCAATTTGCCCTGATCTGAAAGTAGACCTTGGTGTTCTGGGCAAGCAGCAGTTTGACCTGGAAAACAAGTTCAAGCCCTTCACAGGCATGTTTACTTTCCTCCCATTCCTCCTCTCTCCTGTTTCCAACTGAGCAGTTTTTCCTTTCAAGGTTTTATTCAAGTGGGTCTTCAGCTTTGGAAAGATTGAGTCTGGGAGTCTAGAGACCTGAGCTCTCTGGGCCCTGCCTGTTATGAGCCGAATGGTGTTAGAAACTAACTCTCCAGGCCTCAGTTTCTGCCCGTTCACTAGAAGACCTATAATATTACATTCATAGCTAACTTGGAGCTCTTATTATGTGCCAAGCTCTTTGCATTCACTATCACATCTTATTCTCAATGTAGTTCTGTAAGGGCAGCACCGACTGCATTCACTATTTACAGAGGAGGAAACAAAAGCTGAGAGAAGAGGCTAAGCAACAGGCTCAAGGTCATGTGGTCAGTGAATAGTAAGACCTGGATTCAAACTCAGATATGAATGATTCTTAAGTCTAGGCTTTCAATCCCCCTGCATCCTAATATTCAGTAAAGTTAGTTAGATCATTTGGACTGCATTGAAGCTACAGAGGCAGCAGTGGTTAACATTTTGTTGTTGAATGCCAAGATGTGGCAATAACTGACAGAATAAATGTTTATAAACTTATTCATATTAATAGAATGAGGATGAGATGGGTGGCAGTGAGACCTGCATTTTGACTTTGCCCTCGTGTGTATTCTTTCCTCTAAACTTCGACTTTATGGAGTGCATTTTTTTTTTAAAGAGAGAGAGAGAGAATCTTTTTTATAGATGGACACAACACAATACCTTTATTTTTATGTGGTGCTGAGAATTGAACCCGGGTCCTGCCCATGCTAGGCGAGCGCTCTACTGCTGAGCCACAATCCCAGCCCCATTGTTTTTTTTTTTTAACCTACCCATCGAGAGCTAACAGGTATATCCTAATGAAGCTAAAACGACACTTTGGTACATCTCCGTGACATTCTTAGGGTTCAAAAAACACCAGACATGGGTATTGAAAATTCCCTGAAAATACAATAACCACTAAGTTCCTTTACAGCTTTTATTCCATTGACTGTACATGTGAAAAGTGATTCATTAAAGGACTGTTTTTTCTGCTTTTTACCATTAGGGCCTGGAAAAAAAAAGAAAAAATAGGCATTATGTTTTACCATTAAGTCTTAATGATAATGGGTCTACAAAAAAAAGAAAAGAAAAATAGACATTATGTTTTCTGTTATCTGTGACACCAAAATATACCCATTGTAGGCTGCTTGGGGAAGCAGCATGGGGGAGCTGCCAACCTGTGTGTGCCTGTCCCAGCTGGGTGGCAGGTTCCTTAACCTTTCAGACTTTCCTCGTCTATAAAATAGGACTAATAACATTTACCTCTGAGGAAAATTATTAATATTGGGTAAGATATCATTTAATAGTCCTGTCATATTGGAGCTGCTCAGTAATTGTCCTTTTAAAATGGTTATTTCAGGTTTGTAGCAATATAATCATTTCAAAGCATATTTCTAAATGTGTTTCATTCTCCCATCTTTTAATGTTGCTTGTCCACACAGTGGAAATTGTAGATTCAGTGGAAGCTTATGCCACAATGTTGAGAAACATCTTTGATTTCAACGCACTGAAAGAACTTCTTTCTGGTCCAAACCGACTAAAGATCCGAATAGATGCCATGCATGGAGGTATGGACTCTTGTCTCTTCCATTATTCCTCCTTCCTTCCTTTCTTTTTTTTTTCTCCACCCCTCCCCCACCTCTTTCTATTATTGTGATTCTGGGGATTGAACCTAGGTACTCATGCATGCTAGGTAAGTGCTCCCCCGCTGATCAACATCCCAGCCCTCGGTTTCTTTTTTAAAATTTTAAAAAAATTATTTGTTCTAATCCTCAGACAGTTTTTAAACGAGTTATTTTGTAACCATTTCAGAGCAATATTCACAGAGATAAAAATCTAATCATAGGCACCCAGAATAGTAGAGACATTCCTGAAGGTAAGCCTGTGTGAAGGTCAGTGCTTCCACATTGAGCCTCGGGTTTTGAATCACATGCACCTGCTGCTGTGCACTCTTCCTGCCCTTCAGAAGATTCTTCACATTCTTTCTACACACCCCCCTGTTTCTGAGGGGGTGGCCATTTGCTGGATGTAAACATGCTCTAGAGCCTCACTCCTCCTCTCTCCTGCCCCGACATGCTCCTTGTCTTAGGAGAGGGCAAGAGCAAGCTGGGGATTAAATTTAGGAAAAACAGGATGTGTATCTCCTCTCTTCTTCCTCTGGGGGTTGTGTGACCAGGCCAGTAGTTACAGCCACCATGATTGTGAACCAGAACCACGTGTGAGAATGTAAGAATTCCTTAGCACTTAACTTATCTATGTGTTTTGCAGTCATTTAAAACTTTAGACTCTCTAAGTGGCAAGGATTCTCCTGTGTGTGGAATCCATGCATTTGCTGCCAGGTTGGGCAAGACTTTCTGCCTTTGCTCAGGGGTGCTGTCCTGGGGCTGTGCTACCCTGCAAACCACAGTGAGAAAACCACCTGGTGGGCCTGGAACTTCTCCCCTGGGGTCCTTGCCAGCCCACAGGAGTCCCACAGAATGAGCCTACTTTCTTCTTAATGGGAAAGGATTCTTTCATTTTCAACAAACCATTCGACAAACTGTATTAAGACTTTGTTATATGAAATACCACTGTAAATATGTGGCTGGTTTCCCTTGATGTCTGCTGTTACTGGTTTTTGTTTGTAGCTTGCTTGAGTAGCAATGTAAGAGCCCTGGGTCCCAGCTCCCACTTCTGGCTGTGTAAGTTTGGGCAAATGTCTTCATTTCCTCTGTTTTCTTATCTATACATTGGAGATGACAATCATAATGTAAACATTGACAATGTACATGCTCTGTTCTCAGAGCTCCTGTCTATTAACTCACGCAATCCTGGCTTCAACCCTGTTAGGTTGTTGCTGTTATCATCCTCATGCTGCACATGGGAGAGGCACAGAGAGATTAGGTAACTTTTCCAAAGTTGTACAGTGATTAGCAAAACTGAGATTTAAACCCAGACAGTTGATCCCAGAGTGTGGGCTTTTAAGCACTAAGCTGCACCACCTTTTCTGAAGAACTAAATGGGAAAAGAGTTGAGAAGCACCTGGCTCAGGTGCATGGTAGGGCCTTCACGATGAGTAGCTCTCTTCCCTTTCCCATACTTTTCTTGTGAACTATCTCCACCTTTCCACCCTAATCTCTCATTACTCCTTTTTCTAGAACCTTCTGTCTAGTCAGAGGCATCTCTGCATTAGCCCCAATTTGCACGTTGTCACTGTTGCTCATGCCATTCTTCTTCCACCCTGCTTGCCTTCCCATTTCCACATGCTTTCATCATTTTTTTCTGATCCTTTATACTTTTATGCTTTATATAGTTGTGGGGCCATATGTAAAGAAGATCCTCTGTGAAGAACTTGGCGCCCCAGCAAACTCAGCAGTAAACTGTGTTCCCCTGGAGGATTTTGGAGGCCACCACCCTGACCCCAACCTCACCTATGCAGCTGACCTAGTGGAGACCATGAAGTCTGGAGAGCATGACTTTGGGGCTGCCTTTGATGGAGATGGGGTAGGTACAAGTGCCTTTCCATAAATTCTATTGCAGGCCAGGCCTGATCATGCAGGTGGGGGGAAAGTGGGCTGCTTCTGCCAGGCCCCAGGAGACTGCTGAGTGACTGCCAAGGATCCTTCATCTGACTTGAGGTCAGAACTAAATTACTAGAAGACCCTCATGGAACGAAATAAAAGTCTTGAAACATAACCCATGCCTTTAGTTTCACACATTCATTCATATTTACTAAGAGTAGAGGTTTGGGTTATGATGTAATGACTGGTACTTCATGAACTGCATCAATTCTAGATACTGTTCTAAGGTAGGCTCCTGTCCTCAGCTAGCAGCTGACTAATTATTAATCACTGGAAAAAGTTTTGAGCTTATACCTAATCATTCATTCACATTAGCTAAATGATGAAACTATGGTTTTATAGCCTGTATGAAGGCTAAATTGAGAGAATTAGCATTTTATTTTTTTCTCCAAGCATTAAAAATTTTAGAAATAAAATGTTTTATTTACATTGGTGACCACATAATGACAAAGAAGAAATGTGTCTCTTAGGTTTGTAACCCTGGCATCTCACAAATAGTAGGTACTGTGCATGTTCATTAAGTTGAAATTTTATTTTTGTTGCTGTTTTTCTGAACCAGCTAGAAGTCACTATTTCCTGAAAAATAACCTTTCTCCTATAAGTATTTGGGGAAATGAAAGGGGTTCACAGCAGATGTTGCCTTGCAGTATGTCTTTCCGATGTTGGGGGTTTTCCTCCACCCTCAGATAATTGAGTAGCATTGTGTATCAGGCACCCAGGGGCAGTGAAGGTGACAGCATATTTTGTTGGGTTCCATACCAAATCACGGGACTTCTTCGAAGAAATCTGCCTTTGTTTCTCAAAGGATGCCTGGTGACCTTTCAAACTATGTAAACAGCCAACATTTCCTCTTTCATATGTTCTCTCCTCTCCTCAGGGAGAGGGGTGATTGGTTCCAGAGTTTGGGAAAGGTCTAGAGGTTAAAGTATGCTGGCCCCTGCAGGGAGAACAGAGGATTTCGCTCACAAAGAATTTGTGCTTCTACTTCAATTGAAAACCGTTTTAGCTTTTGGGCATGGAGGTGCCTTTTTCCCATTTGTACTGTACAAATTCATTAAAAATAAAACCCAGTCTTTAAAGCCCATTATGGATAAATATATCAGTTTTAAATTATATAAGACTTCCTTGAAAGATAGTTTGATGACTTTGGTAGTTTGATTAAAAGGTCTTCCTTTCAATCTCCCTTCTTCCAAAGGATCGAAACATGATTCTGGGCAAGCATGGGTTTTTTGTGAACCCTTCAGACTCTGTGGCTGTCATTGCTGCCAACATCTTCAGCATTCCGTATTTCCAGCAGACTGGGGTCCGCGGCTTTGCACGCAGCATGCCCACGAGTGGTGCCCTGGATCGGTAGGTCTCCCCATTCCCACAGCCCTCCTGTCTGGGGTCATCCTGGGCTTCCCCATCCCCTCTGCTGTGCCTGGAACAGTTTTCTTCCCTTTCCATTGTATCCATATGGTGCATAGTGTGTGCTCAGTTGTTTCTCATATGAGGGAATAGGGGATGTGTTTTTAGGATTATACCCCCTCCATTCTGAGCTCCCTTAGCACCTGCCCTTCCTCCACCCGTCACTTACCACACTGGGTTCTGATAGCCACCTTGCTTGTTCGGCTTCCTGGCTAGGCTCTATACATTTGCAGAGAAAGGACTTGTCTTATTCACTGTCCTGGACTCTGCCTGACATATAATAGGACACACACACACACACACATACACACACAATTTTTTAAAAATGTATGAATGTTTAAATGCTAATGACTGAATGCATGGATGGATGTCACTTTCGCTGCACTCAAGATCACTTGCTTTTAGCAATGTGCATGGAGTGAAAGAGCAATTCTAAATAATTTTACAGTTTCAACACAACAAGATTGCTCATACACTTAGACATACAGCAGTTCTTTATTTGTCCAAAATCTAAAACAGAAAGCCCAAATTGGTAAAATAGAAAAAAAAAATCAAGTTTATGTGATAGAAAGAAATCAGTGACAATAAACCTTTGATAGCTCAGACTTGCTTCTAGATATTTGTTTACTTATTATGTATCACTTCATTAGATGAACATTTTAAAGTAGCTTATGAGACCACATCTAAAACAATTGAAAAATAAAAAGTAATAAATAACAAGTGAGGGCTAGGGAAAATATTAGTAGAACTTGTCAGGTGCCCAGGAAATCTTGTTGAATGAATGATAGTAGAGAATGAATGAATGAATAAAAGGTCAAGGCCAGGGAGGAAAGTAGAATGTATAAATTAAGCTGTTATAATAGCAGTTAATCTTCAAGGACTATTACCACATGCTAATAAGTGCTTTATATATTTTAAGTCATTTAATTCCCAAACCAACCCCATGAGACAAATGCTATGTGTGACCCCATTTTACAGATGGAAGACAAAAGGGCAAAGAAGTTAACGCAGCTTGCAGCTCACTTACGCTCACCCAGATAGTGAATGACTTGAGTCAGGAATGAGCCCAGAGCCCCTGCCTCCTACTATGGGGCTCTGCAGTAGGTTCCTATGAGAGAGGAGATAGCTACTGAATCTGTGGTGACTTAACTTCAGCCAGCAAGAAACTAAGGACTAATATCTGGCTAGCAATTGATAGCTTATAAAGGGCTTTTTACATTTTCTCTCTCAGTTGATCCTCACAGCCACCCTTACTATAAAGAAGAGAAAGCCGGAAGTCAAGAGGAGTTAGCAGTCTTGTCCAATATCCCACTAATTTAGAGCAAGGGTGAGGCCCATTGCTCCTGCCTCTGGATGCTGCACGTGGAGTCAAGAGCTGGTTTGTGGTCACATTATCATGCTAGCTGACCAGGCCCTGAATGAAATACCTTCTGTGTCATCCAGAGACAATCAAATTTCAATTTTCTGAAAAATTAATAATTTACACATAGATTTGCAACTAAAACATCTTGTTACCCAGATAAAACTTTATTATACTTTCATAGTTTTCAAAAATCATGTATTTGATTTTCTTCAAATGTTAGAGTCCAGGCATGCCATTGCTTTGGTAGGAATAGGCGAGCATTTCCAAAAGCAAATCTCACTGAAATGGTGCTGAAACTTACCAGGTAACTTCTTACTCAAAGGAACAAGGACTTTCACTGAGAGATTTTATTTTATTATTTATGTATATATGTATCTATTTTTTTTAGTTGTAGTTAGACACAATACCTTTATTTTATTTACTTATATTTATATGGTGTTGAGGATCAAATCCAGCACCTTGCACATGCTACATCAGCACTCTACCACGGAGCCACAACCACAGCCCTATGTATCTATTTTTGATGCTGAAAATTGAATGCAGAGCGTCTTACACATGCTAACAACTGAACTAGACCCCCAGCCCCACTCAAAGGTTTTTAAATACTCTAAAAATATACAGGGAAGAGTAAAGAATGTGTGTGAGAAGAAAGTGGGGCACTGACCAGAGTGGGTGAAGCTGGTGGAAATGGGAGCCCCCTAAGCTGGGCATGAGGCACATGCCTGTAAATCTAGCAATTCAGGAGGTTGAGGCATGAGAATCTCAAGTTTAAGGCCAGCCTCAGCAACTTATTGAGGCCCTGAGGCCCTCAGCAACTTAGCAAGACCTTGTCTCAAAAATATAAAGGGCTGGGGACATAGCTCAGTGGTACAGTGTCCCTGGGTTCAATTCCCAGTACCAAAACAAAACAAAAAAGACCCTGCTGGGTGCTCTCCTGTGGGCTTTTGATGAGAGCAGCATTGTTGGGAAGCTCAAAGTTGGGCTGTCAGTCATCCTGCCTGTGTGACCTTGGTCTCGTCTGAATCCTTTTCCCTCCTCTGTAAAATGCTGGCCTACTAAACCCAATATTTATGATTCTGTGATTATAACACCTCAAAACATCATTCTTTTGTTCTTTACAAAGTGGTTATAGATGCAGTCTTTAACCAAGACACCTGGGTTTAAATGACCCCTAAAACAGCCCTACCTATTTTATTGCTATTGCTTCTTTTAAACTATTAAAGTGTGCTCTGAATGAATTCTTTCTTCTTCCTCTTCTCCCCCTTCCTCTGAATCTTTATAGAATATCCCATTGTGCCCAAGTTTTCTCTTATGATTTTTCACCAATCTTAGAATTATGTATACCTCTGAGCGATGCTAAATGGGACCCTTGATTACAATAACGGTTGCTCTTTTCCACCCTCACCCGGCCCTGCTCACAGTCCTGCTGTGATGTAACTTTGATTTCATGCCTTTGAAGGGTGGCTAACGCCACAAAGATTGCTTTGTACGAGACCCCAACTGGCTGGAAGTTTTTTGGGAATTTGATGGATGCAAGCAAACTGTCCCTTTGTGGGGAGGAGAGCTTCGGCACTGGTAAGTTGCAGTCCTGTGCTAGCATTTTCTTCCCCACAACTGCCACCTCCAGTGAAAGTTTAGACTGCTAGGACAGCCCTGAAATAGCAACAGTAGCTGATGTGTCCTAAATCAAGAAGCAATTTATTTATAACAGCCTGATGGAGTATACACATTGGAAAAGCGGTGAGCACATTCCTGCAGGACGGCTAATTTTACTTTCAGAGGATCATGTCCACTGAGACAGGAAGTTTGGGGGCTTCCTTGGCGGCATGGTCATTGAGTCTACAGGGATTAAACAGTGATAAACATATTTTTTTTTCATTCAGTGGCCAAAGAAACCTTCCTAAATGTTTTTGTTTCTGGGAAGAAATATGGTGAAGTGAGTCAGTTTTTCGTTTTTATTTAAGAAGTCTCAGCACAGCATTAAGTCTTTCTCATTCATAGATCCACGTTTTCTATGGCTACAAGTTATGAATTATCAAGGCTAAATTAAGGGAGACCATTAGGGTGAAACTAATTTGGTAGGTAATAAGGAAATTAAAAATACATCCTTGTGCATGAGGGTATGTGTGTAAATTGTAGCATGGTGAAGTGGTGTGATTGGGCATACTCTGGGGGTGATCCAAGAGCTTTAGACCCCACTTTATGTACTGGCTGTCTTTCTCTCTGCCTGTCCAAGTATTGAACTGAACTCGAACCTCCTCCCTAGTACCCCATCCTACCTGTATCAATCTCTCTTTTCCAAATATCTGTTGAGGCATGTGGCCCTTGCCTTTGTGTTGGTTTCCAATCAGGTTGCCAGGTACTCAACATGCTACATCTCTTCCATTCTCTCTACCCAACATTTTGAAGTAAAGGAACTGATCTTCCTGGTCCTGTAGTACATACTATGGGCGTGTGTTAGAAAAGAAAAGAAGATCAATTCATGTTACATTAAACAGAACAGAGTACTGATTTCCTTTCCTTTCCTACAGTTTCAGATGCAGGGTGGGTTGGATGAGCCTGTAGATTTGATGCATATTTACACAAAGTTCTAAGCAATTTAATATCCTTGGGAGAGTGGCAGTACTCTTGGGCAGTGAATTGACTTGATAAAATTGGAAAGTATTAACAAAGATAAAAAAGTTTGTGGGTTGAGCAATGTCCACAAAGAATGTTAGATTATTTCTGATAGTTTTAAGTCTTCAACCAAAGAATAAAAGACTACTGCTTAGTCCTTTACTATTTCATATAGCGTGGGTGGTGCCTTGTTATTCCTTGAGATACTATATATATGAATGCCCAGTGAGGTGGTCTTTGCCTGTGAAATTCTCCCAGTGTTATCCAGTGCAGACTTGGCCTCTGTTATTCTTCTCTATAGATAAAGATGTCTTTGGAGGCAAGTTACAGTCTATTGTAACCCTGTGGTTTCCTGCCCCCATGTACCTATATTAGTGCTGAACCTGGTGAAAAAAGAGAAATCTAGAATCTGGTTTCCAAGAGTGTGTGTGATTGTGGAAGATTGCTAGTTTTATGAGAGGTTTCTAGGGGTCAACAAAGATTGGAAAACTTGGAACCTACCTCTCTATCTTGGATATTCACAATGATATTAACATCTGAATGTTCCAGAACATTCCACCATAAGGACTATTGTTAATACAGTTTTATCCATAGTTACCCACTATATCTTTTTACCTTGTATACTTATTTATTAAGTAGTACATCCAGTAATGTCTTATCCCATAGGCCCATATGGGAAGCTTTGGGCAAGAGCCCCAGAAGTAAACAGGAGCCCCTGTGTTGACTGGGTGGGTACAGGCCTGAGGATGAAACACCAGGAGCTGTTCTGTCTTGCATAGTAGGACTAATAATTAGCAGCAGCTCCAAGGTCTGTGTTCTCCAGGCTGCCCATCCTGCTTCAGTCAAGTTAACTAAACTTCTGATCTGCATTATAGAAGTGTTGGTGTCTATCTACCATGGTCCTTGCTGGTGAATGATTCCAACAATGCCTTTACAGAATTTCCCATGGTGAATGTTATATAAGCTTTGAAATATTCTATAGTTTAATTGAATGCAAGGTGCTTTATTTCTGTATTTTTCTGAGTAACAACAGAAGCAATTTCTCAGGAAAGCCTCCTTGACCTTCCAGAGTGGGCCAAGTTCCCCGATTACTTGTTCTTGTGGCACCACGTGCCTATCCTTTGTTGAACTTGTTGTGGCTGGGATTTTACAATTATTTATGATACTTTGATTAATAATGTCTGTTGCCTCCACTAGATTATAAGTTCCATGAGGACAGGGGTCTTATATGTCTTATTCATTATTGTGTCCTAAAAGCCTCCTGTGGAACCCAGCATAGAATGGGTGCACTGTAAATGCTTGTTGAATGAATGAATGAGCATATTTCCCTTGGCACCTTCCATTTCGACAAACAGAATCCTGCTGTTGGAAGGAAATAATTTTTTTAAATATTTTTTTAGATGTTGAAAGACCTTTATTTTATTCACTTATTTATATGGGTGCTGAGAATTAAACCCAGTGCCTCACACTTGCTAGGCGAGTGCTCTACCACTGAGCCATAACTCCACCCTGGAAGGAAGAATTTTAAAAGTCATTTGATGTAATTTCCCTTGTAAGGCTGGAACCACAAGTCATCTGTCAGTGTTTTCCTGATTAAGCACCCACCTCCTTGGAGGTCCTCACCTCACCTCTTGCAATGGGGCTCTCTCATTCAGCACCACTCCTGCTCTAAAGTCCAGGGTCGGGAACCCTAAGGTCTTTGCAGGAAGAAATGAGCTCCCATAAAAAGAAAAGAAGTCTTCTTGCAAAGAGGTGCAGAGGAGACCGACTTCAGAAGAACTGGCTCACCAAGTAAAACAAACCACTAGCATTTAGAGAACAAGCCTATAATACTGTATAACTAACATTACCAAATACTCACCAGTCTGCTTATGATGGAGAAACAGCAACTTTCTGGCATGATTATCATAACTGCAGAGGCTGGGACTCCTCCTCAGACATCAGCATTATATACACCAGGGATAAATGTGTTTTTCAATAGGGAGTCAGAAATGAGGGGCAGCCCTACACAGATGGACCTGTTGTTTTGGGCTGATCTCATGGTACCATGCTGTTTCCTCCTCCTGACTGGATAGTGATGCACATGATAGTGATAGAGAGGGCAGAGTGTAGAGTGTCAGTTCTGTCCCACCATGGCCTTGTTACGAAATTGAAAGTAAATTACTGAATAGTATAGAAGGTCACTACTTTTTAAACCCTTTTTCAGGAAAATGGGGGGCTTGGGAAAGAGAGAGAGGAAATCTGGTCAAAGATAAATTTGGTATCACTTGGAGATGTGCCAGTAAGTTATCATCTGTTCAGATCTAAAGGTTAGCAATATTTTTCCTTGTCCCATCTTTAAGTGATAATGTATCATACACAAGTGATAACTTGAAAAAATGGATGCTTTTTTATGCTCTGGGGACAGGACAGTGAGCATTTCCATCAGGAATGGAAGACTGACTTTGGCCAGGTAATCACAAATGTGTAAAATGAAAGGAGGTGACACATCAAGTGTCTGGGAGCTTTGTACTCGGGGTGCCTGACTTTGTTCTGTGGTGTAGGGGATCAGGTTTTCTGTCTCTGCCCATTTTGACTTACCTGGCTTTTGAGTTCTTCATAGATAAAGCCCCCAGGGGAAGATTTCAGCATCCCAGGTCTGGCAATATCCCAGAGTAGCCCAGTAGAATGAAGCTTATGCCCTAGTCATAACTAACTCGTTTAGTTATGTAAGGCTGGAACCACAAATCGTCTGTCAGTGTTTTCCTGATACCTGCAGATCTGTCTCCTCATCTATGTATCTTCGTTCATCTCTGAGGGCAAGAGGCTTATCTGATTCATCTTGGTACTTGAATCACACAGATTCATATTGGTCGAGTGTAAGATGAAGTTTGTGTTAAGATGCAGTTGCAGCCATTCACTACCTCCCGCCAGAGAGCCTTATGGAGAGAAAGCAAAGCTCCAGAGACGCATTGCAGGAGTTGCTGAGTGGAGGGCCTGGGAGCTCCTGGGGACAGCCGCTGGTAGCTGGAGTGACTGAGAAGGCCTCCAGTGCACTCACCATCCCTTGCTAGTGAGGTTTTTTGAGCAGTGGAAGGCAAAGAGGACAGGACTCTGGGCAGAACAGGTCTACTGAGCTCCCCAGCCAGTCTGCTGGGGACTGGCCATCCTGGGGAAACCCCTCTTGAGAGCTGACTGGGGGCCCAGCACCAGCTACGAGTGCAACACATAGTCGGGGGCGGGTGGTATGGTCACAGGATGATAGCATCACAGAACAGGGTAAGGGCAGCATCCTGGATGAGGGTGAGTTGAAAGTTGCTGGAGATATTAGCCAAGCTAATATGGGTATGTGGGGTGGAAATTTCCAGCCAGAGAGAGCAGTGTGTTCAGGGGAATGTGGAAGAGATAAAAATAAACAGAGACAGGGGCTGGGATTGTGGCTCAGTGGCAGAGCACTTGCCTCGCATATGGGTTCGATCCTCAGCACCACATAAAAATAAATAGATAGATAGATAGATAAATAAAAGGTTTTAAAAAAATGAACAGAGGAAGAGACAGACAGATGTTGTTACTTTCAGAGAACTCCCTATAGCTGTATTTTAGTGGCCCCTTCCATGTTGTCAGTTGGTGGGGGCAGACGCCAGGGCAGCCCCTGAGATGCCCATGTTGGTGGATGTAACCTGATTCCTAAGCTATTAGCTCTTGGCTCCCTTAGCAAGGGTTGACATTTTTCTTGGCTGAGACCCAGATTGTGCCCTGACTGAGCCATTTGTACTTACCACAAGGTGCTGATTAGGCCGAAGTGAAGTGACAGGTGTTTGAAGATGCTGAAGGGGCAGAACTCCCATGCACTCCATGGGTCCCTGAGCTGGAGCAAGAATGAAGAGACCCACAGCAAAACCCAGGGTTACCTTCACGCCGGCTGGGCCCAGCAGTGCAGTGTTTACCTTTTTCTCACACTTAAGTGAGCTTGGCTTCCTTTACTTTTTAAAATGAAAACATAATGATACAAGTTAATTCATGTTCATCTTGGGGGAATAAAAAAGGAGGAAAAAAAACAAACTGTGTTCCCACTTCCCAGAAGAAAAAGCATGTTGGATTTTATTTTTCCATTTTCTTCTCCAGTATGTAGTGTTAAGGAATATTATTGTTGAAAGCTTAATAATGTCAGTGGAAAACATATTACTTTTCCCTAAAAGTTTATTTTTCTTTTTTTTTCATAATAATATATTGCATTTTATATAGTACTTTCTAGTTTACAAAATATCTCTACTTCTTCATCACCGTAGTTTCTTACAGTTATGTTAGAAGTCAGCATTACCCCCATTTTGCAATTGACAATACTGAGGCTCAGGAAAGCTAAGTGACTTGTCCAAATTCAAATAGCTTCTAAATAACAGAGCAAATCTCAGATTCAGGTTTTTTGTTGCTTAAGGATACATCAATTTCTCTGGAGCCACAACTGTAAAAGCAGTTTAGAAACACATGCATTCTTCATTGGCTTTTTTTTTTTTTTTAACTAGCAAACTGTTATTATTCATCAGAGCACTGAAGGAAATGAAATTTACCCAGGCTTCCTCAGTATTAATTGGATTATCTAGAGTTTTTGGCACATCCAAGATGATCACTGAAATGAATCAGAATTTCCAGAGAAACTGAGGATCCTGCAAATTGAATAGAATGTTTATGTTATTCAAGACAGGTATTTCATTGATAATACCAGGTGTGTGATTTAGTAATCTCTGAATAATTTGATCAGAATTGGGAAAGATTTTTTAGATTTTATTTTATTTACACATTAAATAAGAAGCCAGATTCCTTATTTAGAGTAAGAAATATTACCTCTATCCTTTAGATCTATCCCAAAACAAGAAGAAATTAAAACATACCTTAAAAAATATTTTAAAGGAAGAAAACATCCAGTGGAGCACAAATAATTCCAAGCTGTGTACTGCTGTCATGAATTCCCAATATATTGCAGAAACTGCCAGAATCCTGCTCCTCAGGATGAACTGTTGCCAAAACATATCATCATTTGCAAAAGCTGAAAGAGGCAGAAAGCTAACTTTTTGGTTTCTTAAAATAGCAGTAAAGGCAAATAAAAGTCTTCAGATGATAAAACTGGATAAACATTTCCAAAACTTTTTATATATAGCACTACAAATCCTGCCTTCTGTCTCTAATTTTGCCAGCATCCAGTTTTTAAGGACTACTACTTCTAAAAGTGATACCCCATTGAAGAGAAAAATTTTTGAAAGGAAGAATTGTATATTTTTATGGACCAAAAAGACAGAAAATGTTGGAGTAGATGAACTAATGTATTGATTCATTCGATCATGTCCTCCTTTGTAATTAGTTATCTGCCATATTCCATATTTTAAGCTAATCATCAGACTTGGTTACAAAGAGAAATAACAGATGCCTCTAAGAAGCACATAGTTAGTGGAGAGGACATGATTGGGGCCCAGGGAGGATGGCACCTCCCCAGCAGTTTTGTGTAGGTTGCTATAAGAGATGGAAGACAAAGTGCTCATAGCTACCTAGGAAAGCTGGGAGCTAGTCTTGAAGAAGAGATGATATTAAAAGGATGAAGAGGAGAAGGAAAGAAACAACCACATGCTTGTGACACAGCCAGCATTGAGCTAGATAGTCTGACAGCCCCAAGGATGATAAGGCCCAATGGGTGGCCAAGTAGAGCAAGAAGGTACATAAAGAGATCTGGATATGACAATACACAAAGCATGATTGTAGAGGGATTGTGTAGAGTCCTAGTCAGAAAACAGAGCTCAATGTAATCTGTATTTTGTTTTTGTTTTAGAATGAGGGGTTTAAAAGATTGAAAATGAGACTTCTGCCCCACATCAGGCTCTTGGGAAAGGGTTTCCATGTAGACAGGAACATCCAAAGACTCAGTTTCTTAATTTTGGTAAAGATTTTAGCAGGAGACAGATATGTCACTGTTAATTTAACCAGCCATTATTGGCAAAAGGAAGACATTCTAGAGAGAGAGTTACTAGATCCATGTGCAGACCTACCTTTAAGGCTTGAATACTTTCTGCCAAATTGCTTTCCAAAAGGTTCCTACACATTCCTATACACTCCTATCAGCATCGTGATAGAGTCCCAGTTTCCTTATGCCTCCCCCCAATACGAGGTGTTCTAACTTTTAAAATCTGTAACCATTTGTCAAGCAAGTAGCAGTTTCTTTTTTTTTTTAAATTTTTTTATTGTTGGTTGTTCAAAACATTACATAGTTCTTGATATATCATATTTCACACTTTGATTCAAGTGGGCTATGAACTCCCATTTTTACCCCGTATACAAATTGCAGAATCACATCAGTTACACATCCATTGATTTACATATTGCCATACTAGTGTCTGTTGTATTCTGCTGCCTTTCCTATCCTCTACTATCCCCCAAGTAGCAGTTTCTTATTGTGGTTTTACCTTCAATTTCTTTTCTTGAAATTAGTGCCAGCTTTTTACTATATTAATTCATTACCTGTATTTATTTTTTGGCGAATTGCCTGGTATGCTCTTGGTATACCATTTTCATTTGAGATATTGCTTTTCTTTTATTAATATTTAAGATTTTTTTTTCTGTACTGGGAATTGATTCCAGGACCTTGTACGTGCTAGACGAGTATTCTGCCCCTGCTGGCCCTGAATTTGTCCTTATTCCTGCCTCAGCCTCCCCAGTAGGTGGGATTACAGGACTGTGCCACTGTAGCTCCTAATACATAAGAATGGTTTCCTATATTGAATGTATTTAAACATCTACCTTAAACAATTAAAAAATGTGAATGTGTTTACTTTTTAAAATGTGTCAATGGCCTTTTAATTTTATCTGTGGTAGTATTGCTGTATAGGAATGGGAATTTTTAAGAACATAAATACGTCAGTTGTTTCTCTTTATGAATACTGAATTTACATATTTATCACCAAGATTTATAAAAAAAATTGTAATGGTCATTATTTTTTTGCTGTTTAAGATTTATTTTTGTCCTCTGACATTACTACTTTGTGATAGATCTATCAAGTTCTACCAGATTATCACACTGTCATTTTTATTGACATTTCCTGTACATTTCTAAATTACTTTGGGAAGCATTGGCTTTTTGTCAGTATTATGTTGCTTTATTGAATATGTAATTCCCTCCATGTACTCAAGTTCCTAGGTAAATTTCATGACTTTTTTTTTGTTGGATCTAAGTGCTCACTGTTGAATTTATTCCCCAGTATTTTGGAGAAGTCACATTTCTCATAACAGCTTGCTCTGCCCTGCCAGGTTCTGACCATATCCGTGAGAAAGATGGACTGTGGGCTGTCCTTGCCTGGCTGTCTATCCTAGCCACCCGCAAACAGAGCGTAGAGGACATTCTCAAAGACCATTGGCAAAAGTATGGCCGGAACTTCTTCACCAGGTAAAACATAGCCTGACTGGGCTCCCAGCTAGGGTAAAGGAGCTGGGCAGAGGGAATTCTCAGGCCTACAATGTCTGTCCTAAGTGGTAATAAAATTCTAGTTCATAAGGTTTCTACCAGTTGGGTTTTTTGTTTTTGTTTTTGTTTTTATTGTGCTGGGGATTGAACCTAGCGCCTTGTGTATGCGAGGCAAGCACTCTACCAACTGAGCTATATCTCCAGCCCAGTTAGGGATTTTAAAAGTAAATAAATCAGAAGAAGTCAACTTCTATGTCAGTCATAAGGAACGGGGCTAAAAAAAAATTAGCTAACATAATCAAAAGAATAAATACTTCATAAGCATTTTGAAATGTCCCCATTGGCTGGACACATAATGACATTGGATATGGATTTAAAAGCATGTATTTTAATTTTATTTCTGGCCATTACTAAATTGGGAAGTCACTTAACCTCTTTCTCTACTCAGTTTCCTCATCTGTAGGAATGGGAATAATGATCCCGCAATTGAAAGGATTATGTGAAATAGGAGCCTGAAGGTGTTTTGTAAATTCTGGAGGAGTTTGTAAATCCTATCTCAAAACCAAAAAGTGCTGAGGATGTAACTTAGTGGTAGAGCACCCCTGTGTTCAATCCCCAGTCCAAAAACAAAACAAAAACAGGGCCATGTCTGTTTTTGTGCCCCATGGTATCCTCCAACACTCAGCTCATATTAGACACTGCATAAATATGTTTTGAACAGATAAACGAATGAGCTAGTGAAAAGCCAGAGTGGAAGAAGAGTAGGAGCAGTTGTTTAGGGAAAGAGCCACTCTTGAATTAATTAGAAATTGCCATATAAAAACTATTTTAGCAATTTTTATTATTAAATGTAACTGCTAACTAAGTATTACAAATCAAGTCCTCAGAATTTACATTTATGATTAGTTTTGACTCCATTTTACCCTCCATTTATTAAATACATTATCTGTGAGTGCCTCAAAACAGTTATTGATAAGGCAACTGAAATTCAGAGAGATGGGGCAACGGGCCAAGCATTCTGCAATCTGGACCACAGCTCATTCTGATGGCAAAGCCCAGATTATTGCTTTCATTCTGCCCTCTGTGCCTAGGATTCATAAAACATTTTCCTTGGATGCCCAAAGGTCACAGACATAAAGCACAAACACCTGGTTATAATTTCTTGATCTTCATCATTTCAACTGGGTCAAAGATCTGACTTCAAGATTAAGGGAACTGTTTTGTCCTTGATTCATGGAATCCAGGAGCCAGAATAGGTTGGCTTTTACTCCCCAGTATTTCTCATGTCTCAGAGGTGTCATCTTGCACATCTTATATTTGTTTCACTATTGCAAATAAATATAGACTTGGCTCTCTCGAGCCTTTAAAAAGTAACTCTCTCAAGAGGGTGTGTGCCAGTAGGTTGAGAGAAGCCACCTGCAAGAGTCTTTAATTTCCTAAGAAAGGAGTCAGGAACAAGTCTTGAAGGAAAAATAATTGTCACAGAATTTTATTTCTGGTTCACTTTTCTTGGCCCTGCTGCATCCACACCAGGCCTTCTCTGTCAGAGTGAATCCAAAACACTGTAGAGCAGAATCCATTTCCTCTGGAAGCGGGGTGGCATATCAGATGTGAAGAGTTTGGTTTGGCCCCTTCATCTGCTGGGTGAAATCCTGGTCTTGCTTTTGGAAGCTCCTGTCGAGACTGGAACCCTCCTTAGCCAAACTCCAGCTGGCTTAGGCAGATCCCAACCCAAAAGGGCTCTAGGAGCTTGGAACAAAAGGCCATTCAAGTTGCCAACTCTGCCAACTGAGCTGTATCTCCAACCCTAGAAGTAACAGCTTTGATTCCACCCCCTTGGGATGTGGTGATTCAATGTCAGATTGTATCTCTTCAAAGCCTTTGAAGCGTGTTGGTGCTTGATTCTGTAAAAGAGCCAAGACCCATTTTCTGCCCGAGCAGAAGCCCCCATCCCTTCCCTGAAATCCTCCAAACCCTTTTTTCCATCCCCGCTGATGAAAAATTTATAGTTCTGCAGCTTCCTCTGAAGTCAGATAGCTCTGGGGGTAGGGAAGGCCAATGATAAAGACAGCACTGATGCACCTAAGTGTGATCTGAAGTCAACTCCGTGATCTCCCAGGTATGACTACGAGGAGGTAGAAGCGGAAGGCGCCAACAAGATGATGAAGGACCTGGAGACCCTGATGTTTGACCGCTCCTTTGTGGGAAAACAGTTCTCTGCGAATGACAAAGTCTACACTGTGGAGAAAGCTGATAACTTCGAATATAGTGACCCGGTGGACGGAAGCATTTCAAGAAATCAGGTAGGAGCAGACTTATGTGCTAGAGGGTCCCCAGAGCATCATTTCTTGAAGCCTCAGGAGAAAAATGTAAATGGCCCTTTGCTGTACTGTTTTTCTGGGGTATCTGTTCTCAACCAGTTTTCTACCGAGTTCTGTGTGGCTCTCAGGTGCACTTGTAGGGAGAATGCTTTTTGCCCTGGTTCTGCAGTCCCCTATGCCCTCATTCTGGAATTCTTAGTTTACATGCCAGAAGGACTTTTACACCTTCTGGAATCATATGCAAGATGTCAAGTTGAAGGTATGTGCAGAAAGAAGCCTTAGAACCTAAACAAAAGTAAATCATCACCTTAGATATCAACCCCCCTCTTTTCTCTCTAGAGATTATAGCAGAATGAAAATACAAGGGTGGCATTGCTATACATATTTCTTTCATATGTACTAAATCTTAAATATGGCATATTTAGAATATGCCTTTCTAAATATGGCATCCCTGGATGTAGAAATGTTAAGTGTCTGCAGCTTGCCTGACACAGCATTGTGTAGCAGGACACCACAGTTGCGAGCCCAGACCATCCTGGGTGCTGACAGAATTTTTAGGTTCCCTTGTGTGCCAGTACCAAAGCTGCAGGCTGCTCGGGCCTTCTCCTAGCCTCTCACAAACATTCAGGGACCAGACTCTTCTCACCTCTGGGTCTGTGGTCTATTATAGTCATAGATTTGAGTCATCTTTGGGAACTCAGAAGCAGAGATAATAAGGAGAGGATTCTGTTATAACTTCCTACTTAGCTTTTTTCTCCATAGACCCAGAGTTTTGGCCTGGTCCTTTGCAAGGGAAGCTTGGGAAAGTAGGCCTCAACTCTGCTCTGTATCCAGCATCTCCAGAGAGGAAGGAGGGGAGCAGAGGTGAGGCGGGAGGCCTCAGCATAGGTGGGGGCTGCTCTCTGCACCATGTGAGGAAGGAGGCATCAGCACCCTGTTGTAAAATTAGAAAACCTGAACATTTAGGTGGAAGACTAGGTAGGAGCAAAAGTGTTCTGAAGTAGATATAGCTTCTGCAATCAAGTGGAAAGAATTTAGAAATTTCAAGTTGAAACTGGGGGAAGAAGACTAATGCTGGTATGTTTCTAGAAAGCAAGACTTGGTAAATGGGAATGAACTATCACCTCCTCACTGACTGATTGGAGACAGTACTGTGTATTCCATCGGCTGGCCTCACTGACGAATGCTAAAGAAGGGCATGGTTAAAACCACATGGGGATTGGTTGACGAGCAGTGAGTGAGTGTTTCCTTCCAGTCAGTCATCTGCATTATGCAAAGTCCATCTTTTTGTGGAAGAATGAGAAACTCACGGAGACTGAAGGATCCTCAGACGATGATCTGGCCCAGTCTTCTTCCCTCAAGCTGGGGAATATCTACCTGAGAGTCCCTGACCTTTCCCTGAAGTGAGGTTGTTGAGGACCAGGTACTGCCAGGGATGGAAGGAGAGAGGAGCCAAGCCAGGGTGCACCCACATGGAGCCACTTGGAGCCATCAGGTGTCATCAGGAGACTGACAGCTGGATCCTGCGTGATATGTTGGGAACAGCTGCTGTCTGCACTCTGGGACATGTGGCCTCCTGTTCCCTTTCTGAAGCTCTCTACCAGTGTTTTGTAAAGAATCCTACCCCATGTCTGCCTGGAACTCTTCTGCTCTGGCTTCAGCGCATTCTGTCCATGTGTCCCTTCTAAGCTGAGGGTCCAATTTCTACATCTTGCAGCTTGACTTATTTATTAAGCTTCAAACTATAATGGCTGGTTCATAAGTCACAGGGAAGCCCTCATGTCCCCCAGCATCACCAAGCTCAGGTCTTCCCCCTACCCTGGAAACACTTCTTCCACATCAGCTAAGCCCCATCACCTGGATGCTGTGAGAAGGCAGACCCATGAGGCCCAATGGCTGCCATGTATCAAGGACCCAATCCTCTGATTGATCAAGTAGGAGTGATTAGGTCTTCAAATGGACCCCTCATAGTTTGTCAGTCCTTAGCTTCCCTTCCAGCATGTGGGCAAACAGTCTCTGCTTGTCTTCTCCAGGGCTTGCGGCTCATTTTTGCAGATGGTTCTCGCATCATCTTCCGACTAAGTGGCACTGGGAGTGCAGGGGCCACCATTCGACTGTACATTGACAGCTATGAGAAAGATGTCGCCAAAATCAATCAGGACCCCCAGGTAATGCCTAAGCCTGGTGCCCTGATTTGGTTATTTCTGTTGAAGAGAATGACAGTGGTTCCACACTGAGCCTGTGCCCCTACTTCTCAATGATACACCAGGGCCCCGGCTGTGCATACCTACCTCCATGTCTTTTATCACATTAATAATAGATAATAACAAGTATAATAAAAATGATAAATAATTATCTGAGCATTTGCTATTTTCCAAACTCTGCTCTAAGCCATTATATAAATATACTCATTCAATTCTCAAATGAGGTAGACTCTATTATTGTCCCTACCACAGATAACAAAACTGAGGCCCAGAAAGGTAAAATACCAGTTAATAGGTTTGCATACCTAACAAGTGGCAGATTCAGGATAACTATCTTTGTATCAACACCTCATATGATGTTCTGCTATCACTGATCATATGTCACTTTCCTTGGAGGATCACCCACTCTGGCAGAACATACATGGTTCTAGATTTGATGGGGAACAGGCAGAAGTTGTTTTGTCTTTATGGAAAACTCTGCCTTGCAGCCTAGTGGGTTGGGTTCCTGGCCATATCCTCAATGTCTCCAGGAGTATGTCAGAGTGAGAAGGGACCATGGGAACCAAGGTTGAGACAGAATAGCCACCAAAATGGAGGACCCATGGGGAGAGTGACATACAGAGGAGGGTTTCCCTAAGTGTGTTCCTCACAGCACACCTCTTGATAGATGCTCCCCAACCAGAATTTCATAGAGACAAAATGTTTAGGAAGTGTGGTGTCAGCCTTAGATGGTGATTCACACCATTTAAATGGCATTTGCTGAATAGTCATTTTTCTATTGCCTATTACATTTTTTTTTTCTAAGAAGACATACAAATGGCCAACAGGTATATGAACGGTGCTGAATATCACTAATCATCAGGGAAGTGAAAATCAACACCACAATGAGATATAACCCCTTACCTGTCAGGATGGCTGTTGTCAAAAAGCCAAAAGATAGGTATTAGTTAAGATGTGGAGAAAAGGGAACACACTCATACAGTGTTGATGGGAATATATTGGTATATCCATTTTTGGAAACAGTATGGAGATTTCCAAATAAATTTAAAATATAACTATTGTATGGTCCAGCAATCCCTCTTCTGGGTGTATATCCAAAGGAACTGAAGTCCTTTCCCTGAAGCGATATCTGCATGCCCATGTATTGCAGCACTATTCACAGTAGCCAAGATATGGGACTAACCTAAGAGTCCATCAAGTGTTGAATGGATAAAGACGAGTACATATCTAGATATATAGATACCTCTGAAAAGATAAGGAAGTCCTGCCATTTGTGTCAACATGAGTAAATGAGGAAAACATGCTAAGTGAAATAAGCTAGACACAGAAAGAAAAATTCTATATGATATCATGTATGTATGGAATCTTAAAAAATAAAAAGTTGAACTCATAGAAACAGAATAAGAGGTAACTACCAGGGGCTGGAGAAAATGGGGAAATTTTGATTAAAAAATAAAGAATTTCAGTTATGGTGGATGCAGTAGTTCTCAAGATCTAATGTACAACATGGTACAGAAATGTAGTACTATACTGTGTACTTGAAATTTACTAAGAGTGCCTGGCGCAGTGGTGCATGCCTATATTCCCAGTGACTTGGGAGACTGAGACAGGAGGATCACATGTTCTGGGCCAGCTTGGGCAACTTAGACCCTGTCTCAAAATACAAAATTTTAAAAAGACTGAGGATGTAGCTCAATGGTATAGCATTTGCCTCTCACGAACAAGGTCCCATGTTCAATCCTCAGAACTATGCCAAAAAAGAAAGAAAAAGAAATTTACTAAGAAAGTAGACCTTAGTGCCTCACTGCTACCACCACATCAGAGAAGGAAACTATGCAAAGGAGTGATTTATTAATTAGCTTGACTATAGTAATAAGTTCACTATGATATACGTATAAAAATAGCATGTTTTATACCTTTTTATTTTTATAAAAATTTTGAATAAAATAAACAATATTTTTCACACTTATTTTTCCCAAAGAGCCTTTTTCTTCTTTAGCCTATTTCAAATTCTATAAAACTCATTTGGAAACTCCTGGTGTGCTGGTTTAAGCATAAGTTTTGGAGTTAGGTCTTGTTTTTAAATTCTAGTCCTGCCCCTTAGTGGCTGTATGTCCCTAGGTGAGTCATTCCATTTTTATGAGTCTTAGTTTCCTTGTCTACAAAAATAATAGGATAATAACTTCATAGAGTCATAGGGATTGAGGGAGATAATGAGTGCAAAATGCATAAACTAGCAGAAACCTAGGATTCCTTTTTGAGCTATTCCAATTGTTCTTTTTATATTTTTGAGCTTAAAGTGTTTTTAAAAACTGCAAAGAAAACATAACATAAAAAGTTGCCATCTTAACCATTTTTAAGTACACAGTCTAGTAATGTTATATGTATTTGCTTTATTGTGCAGCGGATCTTCAAAACATTTTCATTTTGCAAAACTGAAACTTGATCCCCTTGTACAATAACTTCCCACTTCCCCTCTCCTCAGCCCCTGGCAGCCATCACTCTCCTTTCTGTGTCTATGGATTTGATGAGAGACTTCATTTAAATGTTTACAGTAGCTTTTATTACTAAAGGGGAGGCAAGAGAATGCTTCACTTCTACATGTTTTCCAGTAGCCAGGCCTCAACTTCCATATCTGCCAGATCCCTGTTGTGTAGCCGGTGTCCTTAAAACTTAACCCAAGTCTGCATCATTCACGCTTAGGATAATAGAGCAAGAGAAAAGGAGAAAGGAAGCTGTGTTTATTTCTCTTTGTATCATCAAGATAAAAGCCTGGTTTTTGGCAAACGGAAAGAATGAATGAAAGTCAGGTTTCTTTTGAACCAAAGTGTATAGGAGGTGGGATGGCTAGGGAGATCCTGCTGGGGAGATAGATGCCTGCCCTCACTCTGCAACTACTGTGTCACAACCTCAGCACTGTGTTGGAACTGTCCAAGCCCCAAGTATGGTCCCAGCAGGTGGAGATGTTATTTCCTCTCATCTGGAGTTGGTGGAGACTTAGATGAGAAAACAGTATAAATGTACTCCCGCCACTTGGCCAAATCACTTCGCCTTTGGGGATCCTTTTCCTTGTCTGTAAAATGGTAGTTCAACTCAATAAGTAGTTCTCATTTTTTAAATATCAACAATATTTATTTAAGCAGCAGAATTTTTCCCCTTTCGGTGAGGGGAAGTTGCATTTTGAAAGATCTTTGGGTGCAGTGTGAGAAATAAATCAAAGGATACAAAAGTACATGTGGAAGCACCATTGTTTCAGTTAAGAGAAAGAACATTGTTTTAGCAAGAGTTGGCAGTGAATGGAGAGAAATGGGTGCCATCAAGAGGTATTTAAAAGGTGAAAATCACTTCTGCTTGCTGGAAGATTAGACATGGGTAATGTGGAGGGGAAGGTGTCAGGAACAACTTAGTTTGCTTTATGCTGAAGCTAAGTTTGAGGGAAGAGAACATGCATTTGTTTTTAAACTCACAGAGCTTGAGGAGCCTGGAAGGCTGGTAGTAGTCAGGCAGACCTGTGGAGTTCAGGGGCAAAGCCAAGGGCTGGAGTTCTGGATCTGTGTTTAAGTGATGGGAACTGTTTTTCTCTTTGTGTCTCCCACAGGTCATGTTGGCCCCCCTTATTTCTATTGCTCTGAAAGTGTCCCAGCTCCAGGAGAGAACAGGACGCACTGCACCCACCGTCATCACCTAAGAAGACCCACCAGATGCGGTACGTCCCTCCATCCCAGGACCTATTCACGTCATCTGATTGAAGAGCATGGACTGAAACAAAGTGTACCCACCCAGGCTTTTTAGGATTTGATTTCTCCACTTCATGGTTGTTGATAAACGGTGCTTTGCAAGGCACTGCCAATTGAGATGCCCCCGGGAGCCATGTGGGAGATGGAAGAGGACCCACAGGCATTATGTCAGTTCCTTTTCACGCCCCTCTGCAACTGCTGCTGTGTGGGTATCTGTCTCCTTAGCATCAGGCACTGTTCACATGACAGTGCAAGGTGGAGGCTGAGTGTCAGTGATCGAGGCCAGCTTTCAGCCTTAGGATGTGCCCATGAAATGATAGCAGAAGTTCCATTCTCCTTGGTGAATCCTTCCCCCAGTTTACTGTTTACATGTAATCTAACAAAACGCAATTTCTGGTGCCTTCTCTCCAATCAGTTTCCCTCTGAGTGAGACGTACTTGTCTATAGATTTCTGACTTGTTTTGCAGCATAGTCCCATTTGCACAGATACTTTGGGATATTAAAGCAGAATAAGCTACTATTGCATGTTGTCTTTTGTCTTTTTTTTTTTTCCTTAACAAAGTACGTTTTTGATTTCTGTAAGATGACAGATTTTTTTGTTTTGTTTTGTTTTGGAGTAGGAGGATATTATAATTTGTTTTGATGTCCTAGCCAGAAAATAAAATGTTCTTTTTGCTAGGTTGAAAACCTTCGACTCAGGAGCTATAATTTTAAATCTGAGCAGGGTCAACTGAGTTCTAGATCCTCCCAAGGTTGACAAAGTCAGCTTGGCGTGGTTAACTGGGAACAAGGAAAAGAAGATGATTTTTTAGGAGATCTCACATAGCAAAGCAATAATATGCCTTTGATGCTCAGATGCCACATACCTGTTTAAGAGACAGAGGGAGAACTCCCAGAATTCAAGAGTAGGATTGTGGTCACTTGGCAGGAAATTGGATTATGGTCAGTGGCATCTTGTTCACCTTAGAACATTCACATTCAACTCAAAATGTAATGTAGTAGTTAAGAACATAGATTTGGGAGCCAACAGACTGGAGTTTGAATCCCACCTGAGACCTTGAGTGATCTTGGGGTGTCATTAATCCTCATTTTTAAAATGGGGATGAAAATAGTTCTAACTATATGAAGCTGTTGGGAACATTAGGTGACCTGTGAGAAGCATTGGGCACAGGACCTACTAGTTCATGGTACATTGTCAAATAAACAGGAACTAGAATTACACTTGCAATATTGTTTCGAGACTGGGAAGTGTAGGAAAACCAAAAACCATCACACTAATACTTGCAGTACATTTTATCATTTGCAAGGCTCATCCACACAATCACCTTGCCACATGGGCTATGCCCGAAGGTAGCCCAGCTCTGCACTCCTCTGCAACTTAGTGTGGACTCCTTATTTTAGGTCACTTTATTTGGGGTGAGGTTTTCAGTGTTGCCATTTGTCAAGGGAGTGCAGCTCAGCAAGCGGAGCTGAGCTTGACTGGAGGTGGTGATGACCATTCATGGACCGTTATCTCTGTGTCGGGCACCATTCTAAGCACTTTCCACATACTCTAAACACAATGGAGGTGCTCTGTATACCCCCAGTTTACAGATGAGTCCCAATGACTCACCCAAGGTCACATTGGAGAATGGTGGATGCTCCAGATGGGGCAGCTCCAGCCTTGCCTGGGTCACCGTGGCTCCTGCTTTGGCTACTTCAAAGCTACATAAGATAGAAGATGGTGTGCAAATACTCTTGTATTTTATTTTTTAGAGGGGTGCCTTGAATGCTAGAGATGGTTCAGCACTATTATTCCCCCTGGTGAGCTCAATACCTGGATGTGCTGACCCAAGTTCAGTGTGAGAGATCTGGGAAGAAAAGGGACATAACACCTCCAGCTTCCTATGAGCCCCACTGAGAGGAATCAAGTCTGGCATAAATAGAAGATCATGTAGGATAAATGTTAAGAACTGGGTAGGCAGTCCTCTCTGTTAGGGGCCATATTTTCTAGGCCCTCGTTCTGTTTCAGATGTTGGCCTAGGTGCTTTCTAGTAACCTCCGAACAAGACGTTATGATTCCCATTTTAGAGTCAAATCAACTGCAGCTTAACAGAAGCTCAAGTAATTTCTCCCAGGTTCTCAGCTACCACGTGGTGGGCTTGGAATGTCAACCCTGAGTCTCGTTCATGTTCCATGACCCTTTCCTGCTTCCCCATCTGTTGAACCAGCTGCAGACACTCCCAGTCCTGTGGCCACTGGAATAGCTTCAAAAATGTCCTCCTCATCCCCAATCATAATTCAGCTGCTCTTCCTGACCCCACTTGACTATAGCTTGGAGGCTGAAAGCTTGGGGGAGGGAGAGGGAGGTGGCTGAAGCCATGGACAGTGGGGGTGGGCATGGATAAGGGCCACTCTTTCTTTGTGAATGCCAGAGAGACCCCAGCACATGAGCCCCAGGAGTGCTAGGAGTTGGAGCCCTGAGAGGCTGGCCAGGCTTCCCCTCCTCCCAGGATTGATGTGGCTGGTGAGTCAGGCTTGTTTTCTTTGGGGTGTGGTGACAATTAAAGTGAGAAAATTGGTTGAAACATTTTGGGGCCCGGCTCTGAAACTTCACTCTTCTCTTCCCTCTTGACATTCAGCTCTCATCTCAGAGAAGCATTTCCTGCTCGGGATGTTCCCCAGGGCCCAGAAAATGGCCAGGCTTCCCTCGCTGGGCCCTCCCTCATTGAGAAGGAGAGTAGAGGCCAAGTTCACTGCAGTGCTGCTGGGGGGTGGGTGTCACCATGTCACTTCCTTGGCCCTTCCAGGCCAGACTTTAGGGATAGGTCCTTCTGCCTCCTCTGCCCCAGATTTCATCCACATTACTTTCTGCTGAATTTCTGGACTCCTTAGAAGCTGGCCTTGCTGTATAAGAATCCTCCAGAAAGCATATCCCCATGCATCAGAGACGCACGGGTGTGCTCCTGTGTTCTGAACCCCCGCAGGGGTGGGTGGGATGTCAGAGTGTTAGCAGCCTTCATGGGAGAGTCACTGACCTGCCTGTGTTTTGGCAGGGCTGCCTCCTGGCCTTCTGGCCTTCCCTCTTGCTCTCTGGTCCAGTCTCCTCATCACCTGCTAAGTGCTCTTTCAAATGCTGAAGCTCAAAGGCCCCGGCCACCTCTTTGTCACTTACCCACCAACTCCTCACCCTCCACTTTCTGCCTTACATTCCTTGCTTCAGGTAACAGTTTCCTCTAAAGTAAATAAATACCTCTCTCCCGGCTTTCCCCCCTGCTCTTCTCTCTGCCCCAGTCACCTTCCCTGCACTCTGTGATGTCCCCTCAAGTCCTGCTAGTATCTCAGTTCTCAAGATAAACATTATTTCCTCCAAGAAGGAAGACTGCCTCCCAGCCTCCTTTGTCTGATTTGGGACATAGTGCCCTGGTAGCACCCTTGTTCCTCCACTGTCACCAGCATTTTCTCAGGATCTGGGCTCATGTCTGGCAATTAGTGAAAACCTTATTAAATATGTTTGGATTGAGTGAATGAAACCGACTTGTTAAGTGGGAGAGTGTTTCATTATGCTGTGACTTCTCTGACCTATGAGACAGGGTTTATCTTAATTTTACAGGTAACAAGTAGCTTGACCAACTTTCTGGGCTGGAAGTGAGAAGGCACCAGGGGAGAGGGGAGTACTGGCAACAGGTGGCAGATGTGTACCTTGATCACTTTGAATGAAACTTTATTTTCCCAGCATGGTGGCACCAGTCTATAACATCAGCTACTCAAAGGGCTGAGGCAGGAGGATGGCTTGGGTCCACAAATTCTGGGCCAGCCTGGACAATTTTGGGACCCTGTTTGAAAACAAACAAAACATCTTTTAATTTAAATATGAAAAGATTTTATCTCCGAATACTATAAAAATTAATTGGGGTGTTGTTGTACCATTGAATACAGAAAGGGGTTATTTTTCTTCAGCAAAGTCAAGTCCAAGCCCCAAAGCCCTCCTTGTAGTGGGTTTATGGGAAGCTGGGATGAGGGTCATGCCCTGGGCCTCCTGCTGCAGGGCACAAAGCATGTCCTCTGGAAGGCTTATAGGTTCTTCTTGGTGTCTATTATCAGGACAAGAGCATTCCCACAATTTGGCATGTCATTATACAAAAGAAGTGAGGTCAGTGTGGGCTGAGCATGTCCTGTGTCTGTCTGCCTGTGGGAACTTTGGGGAGTTTGGGTTTTCACCTGGTGTGAAAGCCCCGCCTAGACCCACAGAGTTGGACTGGAGGCGGGGGTTAGTCACTGTTTCCCAGGAGCATGTGGACCGCCTGCTGCTCTCCAAGAGGGTTTCGGGAGCAGCCAGTGCCCAGGACGTGCTCTTCATGAGTTGTTTTGGAAGAGCTCTGTTTCTGTTTGCTTTCTGACTTCATCTTACACCATAACAGGAAGCTGTTCCAGATAAAGAAGTGAACATATTGAGCGTTTCTGTGGCCTGTGCAGAGTCCCACATCCATGAAGAAGGAGAAAGTGGACCCACCACCTCCACCCACCCTTGGGAGTTTGGGATTTTTTTTTTTGTCTGATTAACCATTACTGTATAACTGAAGCACCTCCAAATCTGGTAGTGTTGAACATTTGTGTGATTTTATTATGCTCACAGGAAGTCAGGGCACCTTGGAGGCAGCTTGTCTCTGCTTTATAATGCCTGGGGCCCCACCTGGGAAGACTGGGACAACTGGGAAGCCTAAATGGTGGGGCCTGGAACCATCACTCACTCAACATGTCTCAGATGACTGGAGTTGGGGTTCGGCTAGAATTGCTGAATCTTCAACCTTCACTTGACCTCTGCATGCAGCGTGGGTCTCACAGCACAGCTGGCTTCCAGGAGCCAATGTGCCAAGAGAACAGGTGGAAGCTGTTTTTCCCCTTCCTACCTCTCTTGGGATACTTTGCAGCATCACGTTCACCATATCCGATTGGTTCCCACCAATGTACTCAGCCAGCCCAGGATCAATGGGAGGGAGTTGCATTCTACCTTTTGTTGGGGGAGCAGCCAGGACATGTTGTAAAAATATGAGATGGGAGCTACTGTAGTCACCTTTGGAAAATATGTTGCATTCTTCAATTAATATTTCCCATCTACTCCAGGAAATATACCATTCTGGGTCATGTGGGTATGAGATTGAATGTGATTCAGAAATCATTTTTACCACAATCATCCTTTTGTCATTTATCTAGGCCTGGACAAGCACCATCATCTCATCTTTTGCCCATGACAGGCATAACAAATCAATTTCTGCACTATTTCTCCTAAGCTCCAGAAACCTTGATGCAAGATGCTGGACAAGAAATTTTTTTTTAATCCATAAGTTGCTTTTTCATTTAGTTGCTCATAACTTTATGTTTATCATTTACTTTCTATTTGCATGACATTTTTCACAATTAACATTTCCCATCCAAACTTTACAGTGGAGGAGGGAGTCAAGGAATGTCATTCTCCAAACCCACCATAAAAAGTGAACATCAGGAAAGATATATTAATCAAGTGCAATGGGGCCATGAATT